CTTTAATGAAGGTCCAGACCAGATAAATGATCTAAAAATGCTGTTCATTTCATTAATGAGACTCATTGGCAAGATGAATTTTGAGCTCCAATATAGCTGAGTGGAGAAAAGAACTACTCTAATGAACTGCAATCTACCAACAAAGGAGAGATCTTTGCTAGTCCAGTGGTTGATTCTATTGTAAATTTTGTCAATCAGCACTCTACAATCATTTGCTTTCAACATGGAGGTGATCAATGGAACTCCAAGATATTTCATAGGTAATGTTCCTTCTTGAAATCTAAGTAGTGAGAGGATATTGCTTTCCATTTGCTTATTAACACCGGTAATGAAACACTGACTTTTGCTATGGTTGATGTGTAATCCAGAGAGTGAAGAGAATGAGTCAATAGCATGCTTGATTGGTGTGATGGATGGAATGCATTGGTGTGATAGATGGAATGCTTACATGTGAGAAGACCATAAGGTCGTCAGCAAAGATAAAGTGAATGAGCTTCAATTCCTTGTACCTCTAGTGATGTTTAAATGGCATACCAGTTATGCACTTGTTCAAGAGCAATGAGAAAGCCTGCATAACAATCACAAAGAGAAATAGTGATAAGGGGTCACCTTGTCTTAGCCCCTTAACATTGTTAAAGAAACCATTGAACTATACATTGATGGAAATGGTAAATGATGGTGTAGTGATGCAGGTTTGGATCCAATGAGTGAAAAGATGTGGGAAACCCATCAACTTCATTGATTGCAGGAGGAAGGTCCATGAAACTAAGTCAAAGGCCCTTCTGAGATCAATCTTTAGGGCACACCTAGGTGAATTTGATTGTTTGTAATAGCCATTAAGTAACTCTTGTGCAAGTAAAATACTATCATCAATTTGCCTGCCTTGAATGAAGGCTGACTGAGCATGGTCAATGATGTGGGGAAGGGTGGACTTGAGCTTATTTGCAAGGAGTTTAGATATACATTTATATATAGTGGAGCAGTAGGGAGATTGTCTAAAGTAGGTAGAATTAACCTCTTTAAGTAGTTTTCCTGTGGTAAAGAACTAAGTGATAGCACTTGTGACATCTTGACCTATAATTGGCCATGTTTTTTTGGAAAAAATGGGCATTGTAACCATCTGGCCCTGGTGCTTTATCGTAGCTGAGTGAGAACATACATTGCTGAATTTCAGTGGCTGTGGGAATGGAGCATAGGGACTCAGTGAAGGATGCAGGAAGACAGGGAGCAATCAAGGAGTGCAATTGATCCAAGTCTAAATTGGTGTGTGGGTTCATGCCAAGGCAGCCTTGAAAGTGTGAGATGATTTCATTTTTGATGGCTGGTTATGTGTCAAGAATAGCTCCAATAGGGGTTGAGGGAGAAGCTATTTTGTTTCTGTTGTAAGCAATGGACTTGAAGAAGAAAGAGGAGTTTGAGTCTCCCCCCTTAAGCCATTGCACTATTGATTTCTATCCGCAGACTTGCTCCTCAGCCGATCTCGATCTTGATATGGTAACTTGATAAGTACAACTCGATCAGACTTGTTTTGATATCGAAATTTGCCAATTACAAAAATTATATCTCACACGTGGAAGCGATTTTCTGCATTGTATTGCAAAGGAAGAATGCCTTTTGATATTATGTTTGTTTCTTATTTTACTCTTCCCAGATGTATTGGAGCCTTTATTATGTATGAGGACCTTATACTCTTTAAGTTCTCTTAGTCTACTTTTGAAATACCCTTCGCATAGCACGCCAGTTGTTTGAGTTGATTATGCAGCAAAGTAGAGAAAATCGATATTTGATTGAATATTGTCTGTATTTTCTATAAGTTTTTTTTCCTACCATTTGTTATTATATTGGATTTTCGGGTATTTCTTTCTCTTTGCATAGAAGTATCAAAGTGTTGCATTTTAATTTCTCTTGAATCTATTTGTTCTTCACCGCTTATTTGTTTTTTACAGAAAAGAAACAATGTAGAACTTGAGTTACGAAGTCATGAAACTGATATCTTTTTGTTTGCATTGCTGTTATCTTCATTGAGTGAACTTCACGAGATCTTACAACTTACCCAAATTACCCCCAAAAAAAAAAAAAAAATCTCTTTTTTGTTGAAAATCTTCCCCTTTACAAGATTGATGTAAACTCACTTTCACTATTAAGCTTATTGTGGTCCTCGATGATTCCATCAGTCAGCTAGAAAAAAGATCTCTCTCTCTCTCTCTCTCTCTCTCTCTCTCTCTCTATATATATATATATATATATATATATATATTTCCTTTTAGTTGTTTGGTTGGTAGTTAATATATAAAAAATGAATTGGTAATAAAATTTCCTATGTAGGTGGTGAAGATCGGCTCTCTATGTTCAATTGATTTTCTCTATGATGACTTGCAGGTGTCTGATGAATATTTTGGACACAGTGATTTTGCAGCTCATGTTCCCTTAACCTCTAATGCATGAGTTGGCAGTATTCCTTGAAATATTTCAGATTCATGTTCAGTAGATCACATTCAAATCGTGATGAAAATTCATCAGTTTTATTCATCTGAGATTTTTTTAGAGATTTCAACGAATTTTTTATGCTAAATTTCACAGTTTTATTCATGTCAATTTATACATTATTGCTTAGAAGTTGGATTAGTCCAGCTTCCAAAAATTCTTGCCACACTTTATTGATTTTAATAATGGTCAAATGAAGTTCACCAGTGGAAAAAGTTTCATGCTGTATGTTGTCATTTTGTATTCTTTGAAACATGAGTTGTCTGTTGCTCCCATTTTTAAAATTGTTTTCATGAGTTTTTTTTAGCTTCCAAATATTTAAGCTACGGTAAGTGTTACATACCACCTAAGTCCTTTCTCATGGAAATTCGATGTGGGACAAGTTACGAGCGAACCAGAAATTAAATCAGGGGACAATAAATATAGATTCTTCAAATCGATCAAGAGGAAAAGAAGAAAAAAATATTACAAAATAATATGTTATAAAAAAGAAAGAAAAATGAGAGCTTTTGTGTTTGAGATTCCTCTTTTGTATTCAAGAGAGTAGAGAGTGTAGCGGTTGACGTAAGGGGGTGAATCCTTTTGCCTTTTAAAAAAAAACATAGATAGCAATGCAAACAAAAATAAACAAATCAATTTCATGACTTCAAAACTGAAGATTTACAAAGTTTTCTTTCCTTAAGAAAATCAATTAGTAGAGAATAAACAATAGAATCAAGGGAGATTAAAACGCAACACTTCAATGTCGACCTTCTATGCAAAGAGCAAAAATAGCCGAAAACCCAATATAACATGTAGTAGGGAAAAACTTAAAGAGAATAGAGAGAATATTAAATCAACTAATCATTTTATTTGTGCAGATGTCTCGATGGCAGTCTTCAGTAAATTTTTCTGCACTTACTAATCTAACTTCTAATCCTTCTTACTTTATTAAAAAAACTAATAATAAAATAAAATAAAATAAAATAACTAATAATTTTATTTGTAATATAAGAAACATGCATAATAACATCAAAAGATATCCTTCCTTTGCCATAGCATCCATGCAGAAAATCGCTTCCACGTACATGCAATCTCCTTCTTTCCCTCGTGGTGCCATCAATTAATCTAAGTTCAAAAAAATACAATTGTTAACAAGTTTCAAAAGTACTACTATGTACGTACACTTTGATTACTTATTTAGTACATAGAATTATATACAACATAAACAAGCAACATAAATATCTTTTGACTAGTATTTAGAAGAATATTTAATTTTCCTAAACACCAAACACTAATTAGAAGGCCAAAAGTATTTGAATGATATTGTGAGCTATATAGAATTGATCTAATTTGACTAGATACATCAGGAACAACTAACACAGTCAAAAAGAAAATACCATACTTTCAATGGTACAAAGAAAAGAAAAATAAAATACCCATTTACACCCCGCCCATGAACAAATACTCATAGAATTATATACAGCAATACCCATTTACACCCAGCCCATGAACAACATTTAAATGCTCAACATAAGAAATTTTGTTTAAGAAGCTCAGAATAAACTTTCTCAATTAAAACATTATTATTAGTCCCGCTATCTATCTCACTGTAAATTGTATCCAAATTTTGAATCCAATATATGCAGAAAAAACGAAGATATGGTTCTTTAGAAATTGTTGCAATAAAACATTTTCATCGACAATATCTCAAGCAGGTTCATTCGAGGAAGACTACAACTGATATAGCACAAGCACATTAACTCCACTTTACACAAACAGTGTTATTAAAGGCTTAAGGCGCGACCAAGGTACTAGAGGTCCTTTGGAGTCCAGGCGCGTGCATGAGTGAAGTGAGGCGCACAATTAAAAAATTAAACTACCATAATAACATTCGTATCTTATAAGTCAGAGCATCAATATTCCAAAAATTAATATCAAATATAAAAATGTAAATCCATCAACTATACAAATATCCAACAGCCATAAAATATAGCACAAATTAATTTTCTTAAAAGGCAAAGCAAAATGTGTTTTTCTAATTGGTAAAACAAAGCACAAAAGGAAGTAAATATGTTAACAAAAAAATAAAAAAATTGTTAACAAAAAAAAAAAAAGAGAGAGAACCAGAAGAAGAGAGATATAAACAAAGAGAGGAGAGATCTAGAGGAAAAAAAAAAAAAAAAAAAACTGATGTTGCTTCATCATTCATCTCTGCAACTAGGACTTTGTTTTCGTCTCACAATCTCATTCTATAGTTGTTTGGTTAACACTTTGACTCTTGGACTTTCTTACTTTTTTATTCTTTTGTACAAAATTCCTTATATAGTATGCTTGGGCATTCTTTTGTTATTAAGTTGCCAAAAATACTCTTTTTTTTGTTTAAGAAATAGAACAATTGTATTTTTTTAAACAAATATCAGTGGCCCGCCTTAATGAACCAGAGCCTCGCGCCACCTTAACAACACTGCACACAGATATAAGTAGGGCTTATAAAGCAATAAAAAAACTTAGTGATGGATTGGAAGTGTACATTACTATTTTGACTTGACATCCACCATCCTCAAAACTCCTCTCCTTACAGCATCCTTGAGTGAGAAAAAGTTTAGTCGATAGGTAAGTGCATTAAACCGTAACATACCACCTTTAACCTTGCCTTTTCGGTAATAAACCGTGAGCGGAGTACTAAAACTCGTTTTTTTATGATTATAACAAACTAGAAGACCATTATCACATGAAAACAAGATCTCTTCATCCCTCCAAAGTGTGACTGGGAAAATATCATAATATTTACGCAGCCCAAGTGGAATTGAGGTTTTCAAAATATGGAATTTAGTCCAAGACTCGGCTACTCCATAATCCTTCATTAACCACATATCAAGATAATCCATGCAATTGTTATATATACAGAGACGATTTCGCAACACCCCCACCCTCATAGAATGGGTGTTTGTATTTCTCAACTCGGGAGGAGGTGGGATAGGGCAGACCTGTTCTTCATCAATACGAAACGAATATATAAATTCACAACCTGTACCAATCGTCCAATGAACAGCCCCATTCAGATTAACCTCACACCACTCAATTCCGAATTTTGGGAATGGTGCATCCCCAGCACATCTCCATGTATTGGTTCCAAGAGTATAAACCATAACCTCGGAGTGAAGGGTTATCACATCTGAAACAAATCCCACTACTTTGTAGTCACCTGTTGAGTCATTAAATCCAAACATTTATGTTAAAAATCTTTGCTCTCTTGTGAGTTTGGGAACGACAACACATTCTCCCAAAAAGGGATTGCTTATGTAGAGAGTGTCTGTGTTGTCAACTCCGTAATCCCTCAAACAGAGCAAGCCATTACAACAACCCACTAATATTGGTTGCTTCTTGGAGAAGTTAAATTTGTTTCTGAACCTCAATGGCCAGTGAGGCCGATCAACATAATTGGAGTCATCATCTCCAATCTCGAGCTTGTAAAAAGAACCTTTATCCCAAACCATAATATGGGTCACGTTTGATCGAGCAAGACAAATTTTAATAAAATAAGGGTCTTGAGAGATTATGTATTGCCAGGTTTTACAAACGCGCCTGCAATTCAAGATGGTCTTTGTTGGAAGCCTCGAAAGAATATCAGCGACGATGGAGGAGGGGAGATCGGCAACAGAGGTTTCCTTTTCTTCTTCTTCATTGCAATTGCTTGAAAGGGTATATCTGCGTCTTCTTCTGCGCCTTTCCATGGCTTGATGTTTTGTCGTAGTAGAAAAACCCTACCACCGAAAACCTATCCTTTTAGCTATTAGTAATAGAAAACCTAGCTTGTAAAACTAGGACAAGGACTTCTCCCTAATTTATTTGAAAAGGAATTCAGAATTGTATAAAAACTAGAAGTTTCATTTTTAATACCGTAAAGTGCGATAGGTTGGACAAAGTGGGACCATTCGCACTTTAGCAGTTTTTTTTTTTTTTTTTTTGAAAAAAAATAATAATAATAAAAAATAAAAGAAAACAACTACTTTGGCAGTTCGTTGTTGATCGACTAGTTTTCATTCAACATCATCTAACAAAATGTTATTAATCTTGAAAACTAAAGGACAGCACTTGGATCCAACCCAGTATACGTTACCCAATCAGTACATAACAAGAGTCCATCACATTATTGAACTTGAGTTGAAAAAAAAAAAAAAAAAAACAAATACTTTGGCAGTTTGTTGTTGATCGACTAGTTTTCATTCAACATCATCTAACAAAATGTTATTAATCTTGAAAACTAAAGAACAGGACTTGGATCCAACCCAGTATACGTTACCCAATCATTACATAACAAGAGTCCATCACATTATTAAACTTAAGTTGGGTAATACCCAATACCCAACTTAAATGGGTTTGACCTAATAAAACTATGGTTTTTTTTTTTTCTTTTTGACAGTACCGGCTCCCACATCCCCACCATCCACCAACACCACATTAGCTCCGTCAAGCTCATCTGGCATCTTTTTTTTTTTTTAGAAAGATAAAATGAAGATTGCATTAACAAAGGAAAGATACATTGTCTCAAAGAAAGTTAGCCAAAAGCTAATAGGACCAATGATACATTGGCCCAAAAGACTAGCAGCCCAGTTGGCCGAACAAAACATAAGAATGTTAACAAAGCCGAAAACAAAATTTCCGGTGAACATGGAGCACTCGGCCTCCAACAAGCAAAATCATCATGCTATGCGATCAGGTGGTTTTGGTGGGGGACGAAGGATTTCCACAGACAAATCCCATTCAGCCGCAATTCTTGGATCCTTCAAGTCCGATATCCTTGAATTGAGAAGCTTAGAATGCACAGAATCCAAGGTAATCTGAAGGAATGAGTTTGCAGATATGGATTTCTTTTGGAAAATCCTACGATTTAGCTCAATCCATATATTGTAGACGAGGGAAGCAAGGTACATTATGGAGATTGAGTTACTAAAAAATGCAGATTTACCCTTCCAATGGAATGATGCCCAGCCGATGAATTGCTCCCATGAAGAGGGTGCAATATGGAACCCACAGCGTGTTTGAATAAATGTCCAAAAGGGTTTCACATAGGGACAATTGAAAAACAAGTGGTCATGTGTTTCCGGCTCACCACCACAGAGGACACATAATGTGGCATTGATGTGTGCTGTGCATCACCGATTTAATGTGGGGAGTCTATTCTGAATTGCCACCCACAGTGTGAATGAATGCTTGGGAATGGAAGGCTTTGACCAAACCAGGTGAGTCCATGGAAGGGTTGGCAAATGGTTGCTAAATTGTTTCATTGTTGAGGCAATGGAGAATAGTCCTGAGGGAGAAGGTTTCCAAATGAATTTGTCTTCTCTGTGAGTGTTTGGGTTTGGAAGAGTTGAGGAACATTGTAATTGGGGTATAATGGCTGTGATGGAGCTAGGGAAGTTCCATGTGTTGTTGTTAATGAAGGAACACACTTTTGTTTTGTTGTCATAAGTTGTTGCAGAGAGCTTTTGTGGTGAAACAAGCTGGAAGAGTGGACCAAGATGGCCCTAGTTGTCAAACCAAAAATTAGCTGATCTTCCATTGCCAATTTCAAGTTTGACAAGAGGGTTGATTGATCCTCTAAGAGCAAGAATCTTCCTCCAACTCCAGGAGCATTGATCTTCCATTGCCAATTTTGTTCATTTGTTGCCAGAAAAGAGTTTTGTCGGGTAATACCCAACTTAAGTTCAATAATGCTACTGGACACTTGTCATGCACTGATTGGGCCACGTGCTCAAGTTGGACAAACTTCATCCAACCTGGGTTGGATGCAAGTATTGTCCAAAAAAAAAAAAAAAGTGCGATCGGAAAAATAAAAAAAAGTTGGACCCACCGTCACACTTGGCCAGTTTACAATTTACAATTTTAAACATAAAAATCATAAATGCAAACTTGTCCTCACTCTCTTATAAAATTTAACTTACTGTAATGTGATTCTCTTATCAAATCTAAGTATGCTTGCACAAGTTGTTTCGCTTTCAAAACTCAAAGTAAACAAAAATTTACAACTTGAGTGGATATGTTCTAACACTGAAATTAGTCAATTACAAAATTATTTATCTCAAAATACTTAGAGAGAAGGTGAGCACCATCCTTGATGGAAATGACCTACTATGAATTGTGTCAATATCAATCTGAATGTATCATTTTATAAAGATACTCCGAAGCAAGGGATGATTGGTGGTTAGAGAGGCTTAATTTGAAAGTCTGCTATATTCCATTTCCATCAATTCATTGATCTATATCTAGCAGAGGCCTTTTAGTGTTGCTATTTGCAAAGTTAAGGAATGGGGTTCCAGAATGTTATGTTTTGAGTGTGACTTTGAAGTTGTTTGAAGTCTGTGTTCTTCATCCTCACACAAGCCCTAACAAGCTTGCAACTGTTTTTATAGTGCTAAGGACAAAAAGGGAAACTTCTTTTAAGAGTTGAACTTTTAGTAAGTGCGTTTGTCCCAAAGGCGGTGTTTTGTCTTCCTCTTTTTTTCTTTTTTTCTTTTTTGGTAAGTAGAAGTCAATAAACCACATTTTCTGTGGCTTGTTTTGAACCTTAGCTACAGGCTGAGTTCTTGCTGGTCTTTTAATTTGCAGCTCAATATCTGGTCAATTTGGATTTGCAAAGCCTCAGAGAAAAAATTTATATTCTAAACATTTAAAAAATAAATAGTTTCTTTTTAAAAAAAAAAAATTTCAAAAGTTTAAGAAAACACGCACTCGTAATATTGCTCCTACGACTTGAACACTCAATTTCTCCTTTGAAAAGAAGAGTTAATAACATCCGAGTTAATATCCATTTGTTAAAAAGTTCTGAAAGCTTGTATATTCCAAAATTCCATATTTTTCTTCATCTTACCAAATTGTAGTTAGATTGGTGAAGTGATTTGCTTATTGAAGGAAAAAATGATTTGTTTATATGACTCGTCATGGTAGATTCTATTTTCTTGAGTTTTTTTCATTATTTTATTTCAACTTATTTCATTGTTTAAAAATCACAAAAAAATTAAAATTCTTTTTCTAGTCCCTTTAATTGATGTTTTGAATCTAAGTTGCATGGTTCAACCCTACTTATTACCATACATTTTTAGTTAAGTATTTACAAAATTTTCTTTATTTTTGTACGGAGTGTAAAAAATCAATGACAAAATTCAGAAATTTACACTTCAAAATTCAGAAATTTACACTCGTCAAAATTCATTAATCCATGCTATCCTACGCTTTATAACACCAAGTATGCATAGCTTTCTAACACTAAGTATGCATATAGTTTTGAAAGCAATTTCAAGAATGTTAGTCTTGCTTGGTTTAGTTTTCTAGTTACAAAACTCTATATAAAAATTTACTTGGTTGATAACTTTTAAAAAATTCAATTAAAAGAAATACAGTATAGTATAGTGTCAATAATATTATTGTCACATCATTTTTTTCACAAAAATTCTTTATCCAAACATGAGATTTGATGTTTCATGAGACACCAGAGCATAAATTGTCACCTGTTAGGCCAACCTTGTAGGTTCATATCAAATTTTTTTTTTTTTTCTATATATAATACAAATTTTGTTTGCAAATTGTAAAGTATTTTCAGTAAAAAGAGAGTAAATTCACTGTTCTAAAATTTATATATATATTCCACACTAGTGGGAATGAGTCGAAGAGAGCATTTAGAGTGGTCAGAAGCCGAAGCCGAAGCCAAGCTGAGTAAATCTGGGCTCAATTAGGGACAGTATTCATGGATAGACCTGTCAACGGATCGGATTTGGATCGGATTATGGTCAATCCGATCCGAATCCGATAAGCATAATGAGTGATCCGATCCGGTCCGATAATCCGATGGATTTTTACTGAGTCAATCCGTATCCGATTTGTTTGATTATCTAATGTCCGATACGATAGTCCAAGCCGATACACACTTGCACAAATCAACAAACAAACCACACAGATTAGGGCATCTAGTAAACATAGAAACCAAAAAACTGAATAATGTCTATCAAGTTCTATTCGTAAACAATAGAGGTACTATAGTACGAAATTTCAACATCACAAATACAAATTGGTGTAATTCAACATATAATATATATATATATATATATATATATATATATATATATATATATATATAATGATTCAGATGGAGTTAGCCTGAAAGAGCTCAGTTTGGATATCAATTTCAGTGTAAATCTCACACCATGTGTACGCAATGTTCTACTGGTTCACCTCGTAGCCTTTTGGTTTGGGGCTTATGCAATGACCCAAATCCGTGGATCCGAACCGTTACTAGGTCCTTGCCCAAACCCGAGGTCATCTAGGTCATACACTCTATTTCCTATGTTCAAACCTGTTATAAGACTCACTCCGGAGCTCAGAATACTCAAGGGTGCAAGCTTACAATGCTGGTCAACATTACAGGTCAAAAGGGACAGTACGTCCGCCGGCTGATGGACCTTCATCAGTCGACTGACAAGAAACGGTCGGCCGGCTGACCTACATGGTCGGTCGGCCGAAACGATGAGAAAAAATGAGTGCTCTCGGGACTTTCACTGTGCAAGCCATCAGTCGGCTGACGATGAGGGTTCGGTCAGCCGAACCTAGGGTTTCGGTCGACTGATGGAAAGGATCAGCCGGCCGAAACATGCTAACCTGGGATTAAACTCACTGGAATGCATATTGTCTGTGTGTATTGTATAAAAATCCCACAATGAACCTGTTAAGTACTGAAATTCTGGATTCACGGCAAATACTCATCATTATACAAGAATAGCTGTCACTAAATTTGCCAACAAGATAACATTGTTCCTCCATTCAACACGGCAATTACATGATTTCCATTAAACATCAAAATATAGTCAAATGTCTTAATTAAATTATATGGCCATGAATTTACAAAAGAGTGGAAAATATACAAAAGGTATAAGATAAACTCCTAGTCATCCTCATGCTTGTGGAAGATCCGCATCTACTACATCTTTTCCGGGTCCTGAAAAATATTAAATAATGGGGTGAGCATAAAGCTCAGTAAGTAGCGCCTAAGGCACACCCCTTGCAGTCTCGTGAATCCAAACAAAGAATAGAGCAATAGGAGATGGGGATCATACAATGTCAGGATAATATCATATAATCAATCTCAAGTATACACAATATGATGCAATACGTGCCAATGTCACTCCCCATTTTCATCATTCAAAACTATCACTTTCAAACAGTTAATATAACCCGCCCTTTGGTGACCCCGCAACGACATGAGAGAAGGATTGGCTAGTGTCCCTGACCCTTAGTACCCCCGCGGTGTCGTTTTGGGCCCAGCTAGCTCAACCACGCTAGGGCAATCTCCCTAGTTCCCTCTAGTCTATATTAACCCTCCGGCCCTTAGGTACCCCCACGGCGACCGGGTTTTCTCAAAAACATTTTCTCAAAATGTAGTCCCTAAATCCCCCTTTTTGTTCCTTTCAAAAACTACTTCACCCATTTTTCATGC